TTTTTTAAACCCGCACAGACCTGACTGTGAGGACACACACCTCACCACAATCCCCGGTGGAGTGTTCAGCCCTCGACCTGCTGAAATAAACAGCTCAGGATCTCTGTTTAAGTTGATGAGGTCCAATCAATGTGATTAATGAGTTGCTGAAGGAGGAATAGGAATGAGAGAGACTGCAGGAGGCTGCAGATACTGAGCAGACAGAGACCCCTGCTGTCCGCAGGACACTGATCAAAGCTATTTCTCTAACACTCGCTGGACTCTTTAGGGACACATTGCTATTATTGGACTAATATTTCCCCTCTGGAGTGCCTTAAATATTTGGGACTTATTCAATATTTAGCACTAGAAACATTCTTCAGGAATTTTGCTCTACACTGTATATGCATAAATCTCACAGATGCTGCAGATTTGTCCAGTCTGATTTACAGTATTGTCAGAAAAGTGGCTAATTCGTACTAATTCAGAATTCATTCATATGAAAACACACTATTTTTAAGAGGTACGTCCCAAATCCCCTCCTTTTTACTAAAATGTACAAATGAATTAGCCAGTAAATTGACATCCAGAAGTGGAGGCAATTTCAATATAATTTAACTGCCATGGTCAACAAACCAATTTGAGATGACATTAAATGATTTAAAGCTTATCCTGAGAATCTGTTATCTCAGAATGTATTAGCTACACTGTGGCCATAATGTGATGAGCATGGTCAACATTAATATGATAGAGACAATTGCAAAGGTTGTTTAAATTTAGATGCACCTAGGGGCCCGAAGTGTGCCAAGAAAGTATTCCCCAGATTTATTTTGTAGCCTTTACAATATTTTTCTTTCCTTTCACTAGGCTAGATATTCTCTCTTTTTCTCTGTAACTCCTATGGCTATGCATGTAAATCAGTCGATCAAAATTCTCAAACAACTCTGACCAGCACCAAAAAACATCCCACATTCAAAGTTACTCACAAAGTTACTGTTTGAATTGCATGCTTCCATACTTTAAAAAACAGTATATGTATGCTAGGTAGCATGCTCAAATTCATATAAAACTGTTGGCTAGAGTAGAATTGACTGGATGGCCTCGAGCTTCCACAGAGTTTTCAGAGACAAAGGCACGTTAAATGGACACTGTACAATTCCATACTGAAAGGATTTATAAATGCATAAAGAGCACATCATTCACATGAACATAAGCCTTATACTGACACGAAGACTAAACTGCTGAATCAAGGCGTTGTTTTTGTTTCACAGGCATCCAAAAGTGTATTGTAGATTGATAGCTTTCTAACTGAAAAATGAAGGCACATGGTCTGTTTCGAGAAGCTTTTCAATGAACAAAGGTTTTGCTTTGGAATGACATTAGAATGAGTAATTGATAAAATATTTGTCATTTCTGGGTGAATTAACCATTTCTGCAATAGTGTTGCTCACTGTGGCCTTGGTTTTGCACGTGCTTTACATGTGCATGACATTTTAACTACAGTCTGGGTATCAGTTGTCAATTATTAATTAGACAGTTGTTTCACATTTAATTTACAAGTAATTCTTTTATAGCTTCTCTAGTATCCAGTTGGCAGAAAATACTCGATCATGACTCTTGCTCATGATCAAGGCTCCTGTTTGTGTTGACCATGTGCCTAATCTTTAGCCTCAATGCCAGCATGTTTTGAGAAGTGATAATTACGTGATGCCTAGCCATTTTTCCAGTAGCTGGACAATAGATTTGCTATACTTTAATCATTTATTTTTAAAACCATTTTTTAAAGAATTTTAGTTAGCTATCCAAAACTTTCCGCATCTCTTCATGGCTCCATTCTAAATTATAATAAACATAAATATGGTTATGAATGTTCATGGGACAATATATCATTAAAAATAAAGCATTTTGAATAATTTTTTTTTCTTCAAAAAACGCAGGTCTTAAAGCAGGGGTGTCAAAGTCAATTCCTGAAGGGCCGCACCACTGCAGAGTTTAGTTCCAGCCCTGCTTCAACACATACCTGTATCAAACAAGCCTAAGGCCCTGTTTACACTAGTACCTACGTTTCAGTTTTAAAACAGCGTTTTACAATGAAAGCGATCTGATTCCACACCAGCGTTTCACCCAGCGTTTCTGAACAGCTCTCCATCTAAACCACACCACTGAAAACGCACATCGCGTGACTAGCCAGATGACAGCTGTGCTCGACTAGCCAGATGACAGCTGTACTCGTCAGACTGTTCATCAAGGATCTACCGCTGAATCCAATCTCACTATATTTGTTAAACGTAATAATTAATTCATCTTGTTGTCTTTATCTAACGACATATTCCCCGACTTAGTCTTTTGAATAACAGGTTTTGGCTGAGCGCAAAGATAAGTTAATAGTTAATGTAACATCGTACATTCTGTATATTGACTGATTGCTTGCCTTTATTTACTATAATGTAAAAACTAATTGTACGTTATACTTTTATAATGAACATTATTGATTATTAAAACTGATATTTAGCAAAAGAGAGGGTATGTTTTTTTTATTTTTAATGAAAATGAAAGGCACTAATGTTGTAGGTTCTGTTTGGTCATAAATATGCATACAGTGAAGATGACGCTCATATATGCAGCACGACGCCTCAACATTTCTGCAGCACTCAGTTGTTTAATTAAGGTTGGAACTAAACTGCGCAGAGCTGCAGCCCTCCAGGAACGTTGACACATGTGCCTTAAAGGGATAGTTCACCCAAAACTGAAAATTCTGTCATTTACTCACTCTTTAATTGTTCCAAACGTAATCGTTCACGAAACAAAATAATATTTGAATCCTAGAACCAACAACTGCCATATTTGTTTTCCCTGTGGATGTCATTGGTTACATCTTCATCTTTCAACAGAATAATTAAACTCTTACAGGTTTGGAACTACTAGTGTGTGAGTAAACAGTAAGTAAATTTAAACTTTTGGTTGAACCATTCCTTAAAGTTTCTAGATGTAACCAATCGTCCATGATAAATCTGTTCATTACCTATTTAGAGAAACAAAATAATAATCATAGATCAGCCAATCTATTGCTGAGCAATTTTACAATCTGAGTAACTTGGAAAGTTTTAAAGTTGCATTTTTACAATACTGATTACAAGACTCAAACATGCATTTATCAATGTTGTAACAGTAAAATCTAAATGCTATTTCTTTTAATCTTTCATTTAATTTAAAACATTAATTTAAGTACAATTATATAATACATTTATTCATAGGTTTAAGTCATTGGATTTTACTGTAATTCATTTGACTTGTGTCTGATAATGATTAACTTGACAGTTGTTTATTTGCATAGCCACATGTGATATTGTCTCCTAAAACCTGTACGTTTTGATTGACAAGAGCAACCCTGGCAAACCAATTTAGAAATCCAATTCCTTCAGACTTGAGTTACTGTATGCTGATATAGTGAAAGCACAGTAGGCCACATTTGCAGCCCTTTGAATTCACTTATTTCAGCAGGTGTAGGGATAAGAAAATTCAATCTGAATATTTCTTTTCAGAGAGTTACTGTGATCCTTTTATTCCTGACTACACTGTTTTTCCTTCTGCATATGACATTGAGTAATTACTCAATTACCAACTCCAATATTTGTTCTGATAAGTCAAGGGATTCATTTTAAGCAAAGCTGAGATTTACCATTATTTTGATAACTTAGGTGTAAACCAGTTATCTTAATCATAGGGTCTTAATTAAAATATGCTAATTTGAAGGTTAGATGTGTCCTGAACAGAGCATGTAGGTCTCTTAGAGGACAACTAGCTGTGAAAATGTTCAGAATTATCGTCATTTAGTTAATAATCTCTGTGAATCTGTCATAGTTAATGGTAAATGTAAATTTTATTTATTTAGTTATATTTTCTGAGTAACTTGTTTTAGTTAAAGACAAAATTGATACACTTGCATGAACGCTTGTCAACCTCTAAGGGGCGCAAATGTTCTCTAAAGACATTTTTGGCTTATTTAAATTATAAATCAAGAAATACAGATAATTTAGTGGAACTAGTTTGCTATATGTATTACCTTTTATATATCGTAAGCATGAATACACCTAGAATATATACATGAAACTTTTTTTTAGCAGAAACAATATTGCAGCAGAAACTTTATTGACAATACATTATTGTGTACATGTTTTTAAGGCACCCTCAAACATTTCCAAAACATGCATTAGGCCTATATAATGTGCATATACAGAGATGCAGATCTCAGAGCATTGCACCAACTAGGGTTAGTCAATATGAGATATAAAACACACATGAATTTACACAGAAACCTGATGTTGTCAGTAGTTAGTATAGTATTTCTATTGGAGTTTGTAAGTAGCTTTGCAGAATAATAATAGAAGGTTTATAATATGCCACTAGAGGTTAGCCTATGGTAAAGAATCTTGCTTTATCAAAAATATTGGTTATATGTTGACATTACTATGCACTGTAAAATGCTGTATTCACACAATTCATGTTGTCCCAACATAAGTCAATTTAGTTAACTTAATCCTTTAATAAATTGAAGTGTATGAAATATAGAACAATTAAGAACCCTTAATAATTGTGTTATTTCAACTCATTTTTAAATATGTAGTTTAAACAAGCAGCAAAAGTCCTTTTATGGGTGTAGAACTCATCACTAAGGCCTCTTTTATTATTAATATGATGTTGAGCAAACATATAGAGAGGTATTTATGTGTAATTTGATAAAACTGTCTATCAAGGGAATGCTTGGAAACTCATAAAGACCTAATGATTTTATAAAGAGTGCCAGTAGCCCAATAATTCATGCTTCTAATGTTATGTGCTTTCCTTATTGGTACTAATGAGTATAGCCTGCTTTATCTATATCTGTTGCTTTAATACTAAACAACTCTAACCTTGGTTTTCAGGGTTGGCTCCAATGTCCAAAGTACAGTATAGAGAATCAGCAGTCATTTCTTTTAAGTGGTGTTCTTTCTAGACATACTGTAGTTTTAAACCATGGATGAAGAAGTAAACATGAAGAAAGGGGAAAGGAAGGGGGTGAGTACTTTTGATCCAACATTATATTCAAGTTAATGTAAGTTTTACAGATACTTGTCTTTTTTGGACAGCTAGTAGAAAGACAAGAATTTGTTTGCCTTTTCCAGTGTGCTGCAGATTGTATGTGGTTTAAAAAGAATGTTGAATTTGAGTAGCATTTATGTTTAAACTTTATGCAATTTTGCAGAAGGTGACGCTGATCCTGGCTGCAGCCTCTCTGGTTGCTGGATTTGGTTCGTCTTTTCAATATGGATACAACGTAGCTGTGGTCAACTCACCTGCCCCTGTAATTATATTTTATCATATTATATGATATTATATAAAATATATTGTATGGGGTAGAATTTCTCGAGAATCTCATATAAAAAAAAAGCATTAGAATGTGAAATTAAGAATGTGCTACAAGAATAGATTTTTTGAAATTTCATATCATAAATAAATCAAAATTACATTTTTGATTAATAATGGACAACTTTAATTGCATTTGTCTCAGTATTTGGATTTATTTTAACCCTCAGGTCTCAGATTTTAAAATATTTGTATGTCAGCCATGTGTATATTATATTATATTATATTATATTATATTATATTATATTATATTATATTATATTATATTATATTATATTATATTATATTGTATTATATTAAATTATATTATATTATATTATATTATATTATATTATATTATATTATATTATATTATAATATATTGTATTATATTATATTATATTATATTATATTATATTATATTATATTATATTATATTATAATATATTGTATTATATTATATTATATTATATTATATTATATTATATTATATTATATTATATTATATTATATTATATTATATTATATTATATTATATTATCATTCACTTCTGATAAACTTTAATATTCTGCTTAAAGGAGATGCAGCAGTTCTACAGGCGAATATATGTGGATCGTTATGGCCCAATGTCGGACAATCTCCTCACCCTCTTGTGGTCCGTAACTGTGTCCATGTATCCACTGGGTGGGTTTTTCGGCTCTCTCATGGTGGCTCCATTAGTGAACAAATTTGGAAGGTAACATCCAATGACAGCTTCTGCCAGAGCATTGCATTAAATTCCAATTTTTATTCCCCCTATTTGTTGATTGGCTTACAGAAAAGGCACACTCCTGTTCAATAACATCTTCTCTATTGTTCCCGCTATAATGATGGGTGTGAGTGAAGTGGCGGGGTCATTTGAGATTATTATTGTCGCACGTTTTCTGGTGGGCATCTGTGCAGGTCAGTAGGATATTCCACCTGTCAGTATGGATAGTGTTTGTGTGTATGTGCATGCGTGTGTGTGTGCGTGTGTGTGTGTGTGTGTGTGTGTGTGTGTGTGTGTGTGTGTATTTAAGCATGACATTGTATGCAGCTGTGTTTTCTAGGTCTGTCTTCCAATGTGGTGCCTATGTATTTGGGAGAGATCGCACCCAAGAATTACAGAGGGGCCGTCGGGATTGTCCCACAGCTTTTCATCACCGTTGGCATTCTTGTCGCCCAGATATTTGGAATTCGTAGTATCCTTGGAAATAAAGAAGGTAATTTGTGTAAAGTGCATGGGATTTTTGTACATTTTTTGAGGCAATAGTGCAAATAAGTTTGATGCAAAACTCTAACAGTGTTCATACTTAGAAATTAAAGTTCAGCCATCATTGATTCATCCTTGACTTGTTCCAAACCTGTTTGAGTGTTTTTGGGACAAATTAAGGGCAAGTAAATGATGATAGAATTGAGATTTTTGGGTTAACTATCGCTTTAAGGTACAGGGCTTACAGTTACAAGTAGAGTGGTGTTTGCATGTGTGAAACTTATTTTGAAACTGCCAGTTTTATATATCTTTGTTTGACCAAATAAACAGCAATTCTTAAAACTTCAAGTCTTTTATGCTGTTTCAGAAACATTGATACTTTACTTGCATATAAATAGAACAATTCCCATAAAGTCAAATAGATAGAAAATGTGTTTTGTTGTTTTGTCAGGAAACAAAAGCTCATCAATTCTGTTAATTTATTTAGAAATTCAAACAACATTTGTTTTAAAGAGCACCTATGATGAAAAGCATCTTTTATAAGCTGTTTGGACAGAACTGTGTGTCACTGTCATGTTGAAGTGATATAAACCCAACAAGTCTTTTTTCTTTTAATCTACTGACATTAAAATAGGATTCAAATCCCAGTGATTTTGAGGCCCACAGAACATTTTTTTGCAAAGAAACTGGGATTTAAATGTCTGTTTCAATTCTCAGATTTTTCAAGTTTTTCAAGTTTTAAACGTTTTTAAAACAGGGCATGTTTGTAATAAAGACAGTAAAATCACTGTAATTCTTAACCGCTAAAATCACTACGGCCGCATGGTGTCTGTAAACGTGCATATGCATGTGTGTGAACAACAAATAGCATTTGTGTGAGACTCATCATTTCAGAAAGGCTTGAATAAAGCTATATTTCAGCTTCATCCGAGTCTATTTCTGTCAGACATTGCTCTGATCTGATTGCTGTTTATCTGACGCAACGCATGAGAAGCAGACAAGCATGTGGGTACGGTGGGCAGGGAGAAGCAGCTCATTTGCATTTAAAGCCACAGGCTACAAAAACAGCTACAATGCACTCAGACACCAAAATGGGCAGATTTTGTAGGCTATAATAAATAATCTTATTGGTATTTTGAGCTGACACTATTAGACACATTTTGGAGACACCAAAGGCTTATCTTAAATTTTGTAAAAGGGGTAAAATAGATGCCCTTATTTTCACCTAACATGTCTAACCACTGGCGAGGCAGTGGCACAGTAGGTAGTGCTTTCGCCTCACAGCAAGAAGGTCGCTGGGTTGCTGGTTCGAACCTCGGCTCGGTTGGCGTTTCTTTGTGGAGTTTGCATGTTCTCCCTGCCTTCGTGTGGGTTTCCTCTGGGTGCTTCGGTTTCCCCCACAGTCTAAAGACATGCGGTACAGGTGAATTGGGTAGGCTAAATTGTGTGTGTGGATGTTCTTTAGAGATGGGTTGCGGCTGGAAGGGCACCCGCTGCTTAAAAACTTGCTGCATAAGTTGGTGGTTCATTCTGCTGTGGTGACCCCGGATTAATAAAGGGACTAAGCCGACAAGAAAATTAATGAATAAATGAATTTCACTTATTATGTGCGTATATATATATATATATATATATATATATATATATATATATATATATATATATATATATATATATATATATATCATTTGTTATGCAACCTGTTAAAGATTTCATTGAGATTTAATAAATATTCTTAATGATATTAAAATTTTTTAAATCATATTTCAACAATATATTTTATATTATTTGAAGTAAACCATTTTTAATAATTAGATTTAAATGTTAATCCAAAAAAGAGTTGCAATTTACATTTATCATTCACTTTCGGGGTTTTTTGATCATCATATATAAAAAATACATTTCAATGAATATAATAGTTCGGTTCTGTTGTTAATTGTTATTTTCATATTTTAGTACTGTAATATGTTTGTTATACATTCCCCATTGTTGCTGCTTAGTTGCTTAAATTCTTATATCCTTAAAAGTGTAATTACTGAATTAGTTTGAGGGCAACTATTTTCAGTAATCACCACTGTTTCAATAATAATTTAAAAAGCAATTGTACTGTATGTGTGCTGTAAATTATTTGACCTCTACACCAAAATATACAGTACCATAGCTTATTTAAAACTGAGATATATACCAAACCTCCATTTTTGTGTACTCTTGAATTCAGTGTTTAATGAGATGCTGCAGTCCTGCTGGTTGTGATGTGCCATGTTCTCTCTCTCTCTCTCTCTCTCTCTCTCTCTCTCTCTCTAGGCTGGCCCATCATGTTAGGTCTCACAGGGATTCCAGCTGCCATTGAGCTGCTGCTTCTGCCTTTCTTCCCTGAGAGCCCTCGCTACATGCTCATACAGAAGGGGGATGAAAAAACTGCCAGGAAAGGTACAGAAGAAGTTATTTTGGTCTCCTATGTCAGAGCACACAAAGACAATATGAGTTTCACAGTGCGATGTGCACCAATGACGAACCCATTAAGATTACAGAGGCTTTATGGTGGAGTATGGTAGCCTTTATCAATTAGATTTCTTATGCAATCAGTTTACAACATTTGGACATTCTTCAATGCTTTATTGTTTCCGAAGAAGTAACCTTGTTGGTAGCAGCACCCTAAAGCATTATTAAGTGCAAAAACTATTTTCTTAATCAGCATTTTAATTCTTTTTTGTTAACATATTTTGTTATTGAAACCATTTAAATAATCTTGTCTAAATAGCTTCACATACTCATCTCATACTCTTGGAGTTTTAGTGTTTTAGTGATTTTTTTGTACCCGGCTTTGTGGATAATTTAAGTTCATTCAACTGATTCATTCAAATGTGAGTTGCTTATTAAATGGCAAATGTAAATGATTAGCTTTATGAATGTGTCACAGTTTAAAACAGCTCATACACTAATTCATAATTAAATCTTTAACTGTCTAACCCTACTTTTTGAACATGAGAACATGAAACATGAATCTTTAAAGCTTTAGTGCACTGATTTAAGTTTATTTTAAAGGAGACAAATGTCAGATTGTAGTGAAAAAAGTCCAAAAAGTTACATAAATTAAACGTTGTGTGCCTTTGTGTTTTTGAAAATTATAAAACAACAAATGTTTATGTTATTACAATACATAAAATGTGTATTTTATAAAACGTGTTTTAGCCTAAAATTCACAGAAAATTAAAATTAAATTTTTAAATTAAAGCTAAATATCTAAACAAATTACATTCTAAATTTACCAACTTTATCTACTTTATTTCCATGTACCAAACATCACCACTTGCAGATCTCCAGTTTCCATTGATGTTTATACAACAGCACCCCCTTTGTTTAGAGGAATCTAAACTGTCATTTTTCATACTTTTGACAATGTTTGTAAGTAGACATACAATTGTAAATTAGTATTGGCAGATTGCTGGAATTTGATTTAAATTAAGCCTCTAAAAACAGCTATACAAAATTTTACATGTGGATTGCTGTAGCAAAGTAATGCTTTATGACTCTGAAGAGTATCCTTTTGCAAATTAATAAATAGCTGTTGCTCAGTAATATCTATGAAAAATCAGTCACCAGGCATGGAAACTAGACATTTTAATCATTCAAATGATGTATAGTATGTCATGATTGCTTTATTTTCAATTGAGGAACAAACACTATTTATACACACATACACCCATATACTTAACAACACACATAGTTAACATTTAATTTGCATATAATATAGCTATACATACGATATTGTATATATTAATATACTGTAAATTTTGTCAAAATTGTATATTCGTATTTTCTATTTTTTTAATTCCTTTATTATCTGTTTTATTGTCCTATCACGGCTATTTTGTGGAATCTTCTGAAAGGAAAATAAATTCCTCGTATGTGTAAACCTGGCAATAAAGCTTTTCCTCATTCTGATTCTGATAATTGTAAATGATTCGACAGGTTGTATCCATAGTATATTTTTAATCTATTACCCTACCTCCAGTACTTAACATAAACAAAAAAAATGTGGAAAAATATGCATTTAGAAGCCTTAGACATTTCCAATTATATAAATTTTGTCATAATTAGATTAGGATTTAAGTGCAAAAAAGTGATGTAAACTTAAGTGTCCCAGTACTGGGGCGATGAGTTAATGCATACAATTGTTGATTTTCTACTTTAGTGCAGAAATAAGCAACATATCTAAATAGCTGCAAGCCAGTGAATGTGCTTAAACTGACTGTATTGTAGGCCTGCAGCGCCTGCGAGGCTGTGAGGACGTGGATGAGGAGCTTTGTGAGATGCGTGTTGAGGAGCAGTCGGAGCGAGCAGAAGGTCGACTCTCTCTGCTCAACCTCTTCACCTTCCGCTCTCTGCGCTGGCAGCTGCTGTCTGTGATCTTCATGAACATGGGCCAGCAACTGTCAGGAGTCAACGCTGTAAGCAGCAGTCTGAATAACAGCACACGGCTGATAATCTCCCACATCCTTCTCTCTGAAAGCATGAGTGTGCTGTTATATATCTCTAATAGGTTTGGACAACTAAATCATAGCTTTAACCCTTTCCTCAGATTTATTACTACGCTGACAGCATCTACAGTTCAGCAGGAGTGAGTGAAGATCATGTTCAGTATGTGACTGTCGGGACAGGAGCTGTAAATGTCTTCATGACCATAACAGCTGTGTCACTCTTTTGTTTATTTTGTGTTGTGATTTAAGAGGATAGTTCACCCCTACAAAAATGAAAATCTACTCATTATTTTTATTTATTTTTTCTGTTGAACACGGAAGATATTTTGAAGAAAGCTGAAAACCTGTAATTATAAAATTCCATAGTAAGAAAAACAAATACAACCCCTATCAAAAAGTATGGAATCACTACTCTTGGAAGATGTTCATTCAAATGT